GTTTGACTCCTGCATGAAAAAAAAAAAAAAAGGAAAGAAAAAGAACCAAATGGAAATTCTAGAACTGAAAAGATGGAGACATTAACATACATAGTTGGAGATAGGGGTCTGAAATTCAGGAGGGAGGCCAGGTTGGGAGATAGCTGTTCGGAAGCCATCAGCATGGAGATGAGACTGGATGAACTCACACTGAAGGCTGTGGAGGGTGGTGCGACCTTCACCTCAGCCAAAGCCTTCAGTCCCGTTGGGGAAATAAAACAAACAAAAACAAAGCAAAACCACTGAACTCTAGAGAGGTTAGGTGACTACAAATAACACCTTTACAATCCCACCTCTCAGAGTACTCTGTCCCCATCCATAGCCTCACCCGCCTTTGCTCCCTTTGATACCCAACTACTAATTACAAGCTGCTCACGGAGCAGAGAGGGCTGTGGGAGTGCTTCTCTGCCACTTAGGGCTGCTTTGGGAAAGCCACCAGGAATGGGGCTCCTGGCAGGGTTCCAGGCAGATGAGTTCTCCTGCCCCCGCCTACCCTTGCAAAATATACTCTGTGATCTTGTTTGCCTCTGGAACTTAGCAGGGACCCCCGACGGACGCCCCATACTCCTTGGCTCCAGAACCATGGGAGGGGAGTAGATGGAGGGGCAGCTGTCCTGAGCTTCTCTTGGCAATCCAGGTCCCAGGGCCTAATGGGAAAAGGAATCGCGGCAGGGCTGCTGAGACGAGCATGAGGAGCTCCTCACGCAGTGGGCAGGTAATGATGAATAGCGGCCTTTATCTGAGCCCTTAACCTGTGCAGGCGCTGTGCTGAGCACGTTACATGAATCGCCATAACATCCTCATGAAGTGACAAATGCCGTTTTCCACAGGAGGACACTGAGGCTTACAGAAGGTCAGCGGCTAACACAAGGACAAGTAGAAAGTGGTAGAACCAGGATTCAAACCCAGATCTCTGACTCCAGAGCCTGTGTGTTTAGTCTGAGGTGTGTGCCCATCTGTTCTTCCAACCTATTTCTTCCAGAGTCATCCTAATCTCTGCCAACGACTCATCATTTTCCCAGGTGCTCAGACCTAACACCTGGCAATTGGGATGGATG